TATGCATGAGAAAAACACTGGTCCAGCTGTGAGAAGAATGGATCTTATTGTTGATGATAAATGGACTACCAAACAAATGAGAGAAGATCAAGAGACAGACCAGGACATCAGGCAAATTCTACATCTTAAAGAAAATGATGAATGTAGGCCGGAGGGAAGTGTCGAACAAGAATTTGAATCACAAGGCATTGTGGGCTCAGGGAACTCTGTTGTTAAACTCTGGCCGTAGAAAATGGTTTACTGAAAAGAGTTTGGGAAATGGGGGAAAAGTGCCGATGGGAAAACTACGAAGAGCCAACTAGTTATTACAAAAGATTGAGTAGAAGTATTAAAAGAAATACATGACGGAACTTCAGGGGCACAAAACTTTGGACAAAATTCTGGAACGTTTTTACTGGATTCACTATCACAAAGACATTAAAAACTGGTGCCGAAAATGCGACATTTGTGTTACCAGTGAAGACCCCAAACTACGATCTCGGGGGCACATGAAACAGTACAACGTCGGTCTCCCATTTGAAAGAATAGCGATAGACGTAGCCGGTCCGTTTCCTGAGTAGGAGAGTAGTAAAAAATACATCTTGGTTATCATGGATTACTTCAGTAAATGACCAGAAGTTTTCACTATTCCCAATCAAGAAGCCATCACTATTGCCCAGGTGCTAGTGGACGAAGTTTTCAGTCGTCATGGTGTGCCACTAGAGTTGCATTCAGAGCAAGGACGACCCTTTGAATCTGTCATCTTTATTGATTTTCATTAGACATGTCCTTAGCGTTTTATGCCAACCGAATTACGTTCTACGCCGCGTAAAATCTGCGTTGCTAGGCAAACGCTGCTCAAAAAAATTTGTGAGATCATGGGCATTCGTAAGACAAGGACAACACCTTTACATTACAGTCTGATGGTATGGTAGAACGATTTAATAAGAGCATAGAGGAACACCTGACAAAAGTGATCGCAAGGAACCAGCAAGATTGGGACAAGCATTTATTTGCCTCTATTTTTAATGGCTTACAGAGTAGTCCAGCCAGAATCGTTTTTGGAAGAGAACTCAGGTTACCTTGCGATCTGATGTTTGGGATACCTGAATAAGAGCAAAAAGAAATTCGAGACTATGCCGACGAAGTAAGGGCACGACTTCTGGGGATACATGATTTAACTCGGGAGCATATCCAGCTGGCCAATGACCGAATAAAGACCAGATACGACTTGAAAGCCAATTCAGCCGGATTTCAAGAAGGTGATTTGGTGTAGCTGTATAATCCATCAAGAAAGAAAGGAGTGTCGCCGAAACTGACTTCAGCATGGGAAGGACCCTACAGAATAATAAAGAGGATTGATGATTTGGTTTATCGAATTCAGCGCAACACCAGGAGTAAGATGAGAGTTGTACAGGGTGCTCATTTTATCTTGATAACGTTTCAAACTGTCATAATTTCTTTATTTTTGAAGTAATTTAAATAAATAAAAAAACATACTGTAGGGTGGTTTTCCAGTTTTAGATAGGGTGGACAAAAAACAAAAAACTAATATATTTTGTCAGTTATGCACACAAATAGCATTTTTTTAAATGGAACACCCGGTAAATTTTTAGTTTGCTTGATAATATGTTTCATTCTGATTGCAATATATATGCTGTACGCAATTGACGAAAACGGTCACTGCCCGAATTTTATACTCACAATGCGATGTGGATCTTTTGAATTTTCCACATCGCGTTACGGGTAGCATTTTTCCGTTTCCTATTTGGTTACCGCTACATGGAGCGCTAATCCTTTAGGACTTGTAAAATTATACCTGGCATTGCGTTTCCTATTAGGCCAGCGCACATTGCTTACGGCTACATGGAGCGATAATCATATAGGGCTTGTTAAATTGTATCTGACGTCGCGTTTCCTATTAGACCAGCGCACACCCTCTGCGATCGTCTGCAGACATCCATTGCAATGCATTATCGTTGTCATTTTTTAAGGTTAAATGGTATGGTTACAGGTGGTGCAATAATTTTGTAATATTTCTCGTTGTGTCTCGTTTTATTATGACTGTTGATTCTACACTGAGAAATCCTCTAGCCAAAAACTCTACTAATGGATTTTCGGCTATCATAGAGAAATTTTGGCTGTAATTGCAAAACGATCCTATTCTAGTAGTAGAACGCAGTTAGCAAAAAGTACCTTGGTTGTAACAGTAACCTTCTTTACTGCCACTAATATTTTTTTCCTGTTACAGTAAAAACACTTATTATTAATAAGTATATTTTCTATCGCAAAGTGCTCGCCTGCAACTATGAAAAAGTTTTTCATAAGTTTTTTTTTATTACTGCTGGAAAGAATTTCACTGCTACAAAAAAAGTTAAACTTTGCAAGTTGTTTTATTAATTATTACCAACCCATCAATGTCAAAAGTCATGTAACAGCATAAGGTTGGCAATATGGACGTAATTATTTATTTTACGTGCTCTGGTCTAATAGGGTCAATAGGGAACGCGACGTCAGATATAATTTAACAAGTCCTAGTCCTATAGGAGTAGCGCACCATGAAACGGTAGACAATGTGCGCTGGCCTAATAGGAAACGCAATGCCAGGTATAATTTTACAAGTCCTAAAGGATTAGCGCTTTATGTAGCGGTAACCAAATAGGAAACGGAAAAATGCTTACGGGTATATTTTATATACCCAAAACGCGTTGTGTGTAAAATTCAAAAATCCACGTCGCGAAATCACGATTATCGGCGGAGACACGCGACGAGTTTCGTGTTATGGGTAATAAAGAATACCCATAAGGCGAAAAATATGAGGTTCGTCCTAGGTAATGTAAAGAAATCAATCAAAAAATTGTAAAATAAAAGTTTTTAAGATTTATTCATGAAATAAACATTTTTTATTAAACTAATATTTATTATTTATTCTTGCATGTTAGTGAAACATGACATTTTGAGTTACACTTCTGTGTAAGTGAATTTTCTGGCTATCAACTTTTCCTCCTCTCCAATATTTAGTATTTCATAACGATTCAACCTTCGATAAAGTTTTGATGAAAGTGGTTTTCCCAATCTGCGTAATTATTGTGCTTCTTTAACTTCACTAATAATGTTTTTATAATCACCTTCTAAGAGGAGTGTAGACCTAATGTTTGACTCTATATAAAGTTTATTTAAACCATCTACGTATTCTTTTTTAAGATTCTCTATTGATTCATCCATTTTTTATCGAAATTTCACTTAAAACTTTGAGAAAGGACAAATAAATAAACAAATAAACACCTGCTGATTGTTGCTGCCGATTAAATGAAGTAAGGTTATGTATTTTCGGGTTGTGGGTATTTATTATTACCCATAACATGAAAACTGTCGCGTGTCTCCGCCGATAATCGTGATTTCGAGTCGTGGGTTTTTCGAATTTACACACAACGCGTTTTGGGTATATAAAATATACCCGTAACGTGATGTGGAAAATTCAAAAGATCCACATCGCGTTGTGAGTATAAAATTCGGGCATTGACCGTTTTCGTCAATTGAGTACAACATATACAATACAATACAATTTAATACAATTTACATGCAGAAATGTTTTTATAATGGAAAATTCGGTCCACCTACCTACCTTTGTAGGTAATCCGTGTAGGTAATCAATATTTCCAGTTAGAAAAAATAAAACATTTCTGCATGTAAATATAAAGTGAATTGTATTCAATTGTATTGTATTGTATATATTGCAATCAGAATGAAACATATTATCAAACAAACTAAAAATTTACTGGGTGTTCCATTTAAAAAAATACTATTTGTGCGCATAACTGTCAAATTATATTAGTCTTTTGTTTTTTGTCCATCCTATCTAAAACTTGGAAAGCAACCCTACAGTATGATTTTTTATTTATTTAAATAACTTCAAAAATAAAGAAATTATGACAGTTTAAAATGTTTTCAAGATAAAATGACCACACTGTACATTTGGACAGATTGACGAAATATCATGGGCGTGAAGTTGATCGGGATGATCAACCTTAAGAAGAGGGCAGTGTCACAGAAAGTGGTGCTTCCACCACGTTGTACACAATTGGACAACTGATTCTAGATTTTACGTTCCTCTTCGGGAAAAGGGTCTACCGCGTTTATTCTGGATTTCGCGACAATAGATTATGGTCTATGGATATATAAAGGCCGGTATTAGTAGTTTTTAGGTTTAAGATTGACTGTGATACGATTTAGATAGTGAATTTTGTAAGAATTTTAGAGAGTCGAGTTGTTTGAGTTAATTAGTGAAGTAATTAGTGTCAGAGTGTGTAGTAACGTGAAATAAATTATTGCTGTGTTAATTGGACTTTGATTTTGAAATTAAGGAAGCCAAGATTTCTGTTACGCAGTGACAGAGTATTTTTCTTTTCTTGATTAGATGTTGTAGGTATGTCCTTTTGGAATCTTATCATATTATTTTATAGTTATTATCGCCCACGAGCTAGGCTAACCTTCTTGTGGATAATCAACTAATAATAAGCAACAACTGAAAGGAATTAATTCTCTATCCGCAATAATCCATTGCAATCGGATCATGTGCATATTATATGTTTTTTAAAGTTTTAGCAATTTGTAATGTAGATGAGTGACCTCTCGACATGAAGAATTTAATGGAGTAGTTGAGGACCTACCTCTACAAATAAGGCACTCCCGTGTTTATTTAGGGCTGGTTGTAATAAATAGACGTACTATCAAAATAAAAATGTTCTTATTAAGTCGTCTGAGTTAAATTGATTTTGGCAAAAATAAATTGCAAGAACTGTTTTTGGCAAACAAATATTTTACCTACTTTTTTGTACTTTCCCATTAAGTCTTGTAGGAAGGGGGGGCTAGGTATAAGATAAGACATAGTTATACGATTTTTATAAATTTCAGCATCCAACAACCACCTTACCAAATTATTGGAACTCAAGTCACTTTTCACTTACCTACTTATATTACTAGAATCCAAATTATCTTTTTAATATTTCGTAGTTACTCACTTGTTAAATACTTCAATTTTTTGGGACTTTTCAATTTTTCGTTTATAAACTATTTTATTATTGATGGTATCTTTTTCAACAATATTGGTATTATGCTCCTTCAAAACATTTTTGATTTTTTCCTTTTGTTCTGGAGATATATACACAGGGTGTACATTGGTTGCTTGGCTATGACTAAAAATTATAAAAAAATGAGATTTTAGGGGAAACTATAATTTGGTGCTTACCTACCTGTCGGAATTTGTGCTGCCATACAAAAGGCTTGATGTATAATTTTTATTGTGACTATAGACTTTACTATAATTAGAATGGTAATAGGGCAGATTTAGTGTTTTATAATGGGAAGTTTTTATTTTTAAGCCTGTCGTGTAGGGTTTGGGAGTGGCATCTATTTCATTAGGACGGTATATCTAAATGAAAATGTATTCATTGAAATAGCAAATAATAGAATATTTTGGCTTGCTTACTGATATAACTGATTGGAAAATTGTCCATAATAACACACAATGAATGCAAGTTTTCATCTTGCCTTTTTTACCAAAATTCACACATAATTTCAACACAAACTAACTTGAATTCGTTGTTACAAAATAAATTTCTAAATGAATCGCATTTCTTGTAATGAAAATATTAGCTTATCAGCTCTAGAAAGGGTCAATAAGTTTAGAGTAATAATTGGACTAAACAAGATTAGGCATCGGCTTTTCTCAATTCATTTTTGCCTCTCTCTGTCTTATTTACAAATAAATGTAGAGATAGATGTGTTTTAAAAGCCAATTGGGACATTTTGATTTTTCTGAGAAGCGATTCTTTATTGTTTGTTTATGAAATAATGATTTGTAATTATTTATATTGGTCATTTGATAAATATTTGTTTTGCAGATGGTAGAGATTCTAGGAAATTACTTTTCTCATTTTGAATGTCCTTGATTCATAAACAATTTTGAGTTTATACCCTGTTTACTTTTTGTTGGATACTGTATCTTTATTCGCTTGTATATCACTAAGAGGGGTTTATCGAATCCAGGAAAAGGGTAATCATAATCCATCTTTTTGGCTATGTTACCTGGGAATATAAATTGTTTAGGGAACATTTCCAAGTTTCTACGATTCTCATAATTGGTATTAATGGCTCTTCTTCTAATTTTTCTTGACGATGTCTCTGTGATTCAGACATTTGTGTAGACGTTTTCTTTATGGAAACTGATAAACCATCCTTATGTTGCATTAATGGTAGACATTTGTTTGGCACAAGTTAGTTTGTGATGACACACTTCTTTTGGTTTGTTTGAACTACCCATTTTATGAAAATATGTATGAGCTGAAATAGTAAAACACAAAATTAAAATCCTCCTATATAACATAAAGATATATTTTTATTAGACAAAACTATGTGTAGCTTATTTTTTAAAAACCTAGTCGGTACATAACACAAAAATAAGGAATTATATAAAAAAAATATACAGCTTATTAATTAAAGGCAGGCGAAACAGTCACAACTGCATAATTTTAATAATAAAAGGTCACATTTCTTGATCAAAAGTCTAATAGTTCTGGTAGAAATTTATTCCGCCAGGCATAGGCATATTTAAAGGTCCTACAGGATAAGGTACTGATCCAATTGCAGAGGGTGACACAGGCAAGTTGGGTACACCAGGAAAGTATCCTTTATTTAAACTAACTGGCGGTGCGTTTATGTAACTAGGCAGACCCATTCCTATAGCAGCATCACCACGTTGAAGTATTTTTGATAGCTTATCAGCCTTTACTAGTCTTGTGTGCATTAATTTGCGTTTTATTTGAAACTCCTCTAAAAATTGGTCAAGTTCCGCTTCACTGTCTAAGAATTTTTTGGCCGATTTGTCCGATTCTTCTTCCATTTCACTGGCTGCGGTTTGGAGTAGGGCTAGAGCTGTTTCTAGAGATATATCGCCACCTTTATCACCTAAAAAAAGTGCATATTTAAAAATAGTTTTTAGGCTAAAATATTTTATTTGCTAATCTTACGTAATTCTGTGGTTTTTTCATTAACAACTTTTGTAAGCTTTTCAATCTCATCATATAATGATTTAAGCTTTTCTCTACCTTCAACCAGTTCAGGTTCTCTGGAAAGATTGCTTTCGGCCATTGAATTATTTTGAGCTATTATATTCTCTTTTTCTTCTTGTAGTTCTTTTAGATAGGACTGGAAAAATGATAGGTAGGTAAATTATGTTTTATTTATGGTTTATTTACAAGAAGGCAACAAGTTACTTTTTGCTTGTCTAGATTATTAATTTTTTTTCGCTATAATGACCGCTATTATAATAGTATATTATTTAACGAGTGTATAATATAGCCATTATCAAGATCAAGAAATAGAGAAGGACATAGCAGATAAAAGGAGAAGAAATACCAACAGTATCTAAGTTCAAATAAGATACGAGATAAAGAAATATAGGAAATATATAAAGAAGCACAAGCAAGAGTACGGAAAAAAATAGTACACAAAAAGAACGAGTCATGGGCAAGAAACTGTGTGCAAATTAAGTTTCCACTTCAGTAAACTTTGTTTTTAAAAAACATTTATTTTTAAAACTAAGTATTACAAATGAAAACTTTAAATTTAATCTAAATGAGACAAATTACTGCGAGGAAATCTCGAGAGTAAATGAATGGAAAACAATAGCTGCAAGCGTATTTTATAATAAAATAAATGCTAGCATAAGCAAGTTACATATTATTGTTTCGGGAGAACAAAAGGGTCTTTATTGAGTTCCAATATAATTTGCATATAAATACTTATCTGGGGGGTAAAAGAAACACAGAAAGTTGGAGATTACTTACTAAAAAATATGATAAAAACACAAACCAAGGATATTATCAATACAATAACACCCCAGCAATGGGAAGAGTACTTTGAAGAATTACTGACAGAACAGCGGCCAGACTTTAAAGAAGAAAAGGAACAGACACGAAACATAAAAACTACAGGATCGCCAATACGAGTTATGTAAGAAGAAGTTAAAAAACACTGCGGCTTCTTAAAAAATGGTAGGGCACTAGGCCCAGGAGAAATATATGGAGAACTGATAAAGTGTGGGACCAATAAACTCTACAAACATTTAACAAAACTATTTCAAAACTCCATAGATAAACATGAAGTACTGGAAGAGTGGCAAATAAGCTATTTAACAACGATATACATATAAGAAACGGGAGAGAAACAAATGCGAGAATGGGACAGAAACAAATGCGAGAACCACCGAGGAATTGCAGTAATAAATACGCTGAGCAGAGTGGGAAACTCATAAAAGCCAGAATAGAGAACGAGTACAAAGATAGTGAGGCAGAACAGGCCGATTTTAGAGCAGGAAAATCAACTGTAGACCATTTATTCAGTTTGATCCAGGTAATTGAAAAAAACGAGCGTATAACCAAGAACTCCATTTATTTTTTGTAGATCTAAAGAAAGTATATGACAATGTTCCGCTCAAAAAGCTTTGGGAAGCACTCGAAAAGACCAATATCAACTTAGAATTAATAAATCATACCGCTAGGCTAGAAAAACTAAGGTATTTACATGGGGCAACCCGGAACTAAATCGCACTAAATCGCATGGGCCGTACTTGCCCAATCGGGCTTTAAACTCAAAAAATTGTGTTTTTTTTATTTCTTTGGAAATATCTCAAAAACTATAAACTTCTTTGAAAATCTACAAGAGAACAAAATTGTTGCCAATAAAAATACCTACAAAATCATTTTTTGTTTTTGAAAATCAGACTAAAAACAAAGAACTTATGGGCCTTTAAATAATGGGCCAATACGGCTTGACTCGGCTTGAGCTCCAATTATATCTAAAAATTGAACGATTTCACTTAAATAAGTGAAAATATAATAGATTTATTAGAAATGTAATAATGTAAATAATTAACCTTTGATAAATGTAATAGATTTGCTACATTTGTAATAAACTGGCAACACTGTTGATGATCGCTACAAGATAACGCAAGCTGATTTAAACGATCTCGTAAGGGACTTAGCATTGCCAATGCCAAAGAGCAAAGCAGAACTTTGTAACGTTTAAAGTTACCTGTCTTTTTTCTTTTAAAATTTAACTAAATATAATCCTTTTAAATGTTGACTAACATTTAAAATTACAGGGTTCCCGCTATTTATTATATAGCAAATATTAAACTATTTCACTAGAGGGCGCTAGTCTCTTTTAATTTGACACTCGGTTAGTACCAACAATTTCCGTTGGATTTTTTCGAGAGGAAGCGCGGTATTCGTGCTTACCTGGCCCGTGGAAAATTGATTCTCGTCCCTTTTGAATTTCTCTGGTTGAACAGTACGGTTGACTGAAAGTGCTGATCAAATAATAGCTATTTATCTACCAAGGGGATTATGTAGATTATAATGCCCGAAGGCGAAACTAGCCCGAGGGCCTATGGCCCGAGGGATATATTTCGCCTGAAGGGCATTATAATCTTGAAATCCCCGTGGTGCATACAATGCTTTATTTTCTACTCAACACAATGTTTTTTCATCAATTTGTTATTAACAAAATCAGTTAAACTTGTGTGACAGAATATTGTTTTGTATTTTGACATGTACCTGTACCTGTGACCTGTACCTGTACCTGCGACCTGTACATAGAAACGAAATAAATTAATATATCTATAAACATCTCATAAGGCAAGGCAACGGTGGTGGTCCTGTGGGTTAACGCGCTGGACTACATGGGAAACATTGATGGTAGACCGGGTTCGAATCCTGGCTAGACCGAAAATTATTTTCGGTCAGACATTTAGTGGCTGCCTAGGGTAAAGTGCAAATTAATAGAACAACAACAACAAAAACACAGGATCAGGTTGTTATAGGTGTGTTAACGTATTTCGTTTCCTAGGTATTATGGATCTATAATAGTAAAGTAGAAAATAAAATATCTTACCGGCCCTTGGGCATTGCCTTGTTTAACAAATTAAAGTTGAGTTGGGTACATTATTATTATTTTTTTTTTAGGATTACTGATTACCGTTTGCTAATTATTTTCTAGGTGTGTTTCTGGATTTTCACACTTCCATATTTTGTGCAATTTTATAATTTTAAAAAATTCAGTGGCGCCCTCGCCATTCTGTACTGAATAAACAATCAACCCACCCCTAATATTTTTTAGGCTGAGCTAACTGAGCACATTATGAACCCTTAATTAATTCATTAATAAAAGGGGTTACATAAATTGGCGCCTCAACTTAAGGGGCATAGAACATCTTAAATAATAACATCAATTAAATATTGTACAGTTTGGTATTATCTTTTATCTTTTCTTTGCATAACTCAACTACTTGACTTTGGGTGTACCGGTATTACTTGAGTGATTTCGAATTAATTTATTTTGACAGTAACATATTTTCCTATACCTTCAATTAGTAAAAGTAATCAAATATGGCAGATTCCATTAGTCCCCGGCATTTACTTGTACCTGAAATTGATTATGAGCTGAAGTTTAGAGGAGTCCTTGCTAACTGTGGACGTCCTGAGAAAATAAGACTTTTAAAGCGTCTTTTAGATAAAGAAGCTCAGGGTGGTAATACGAATGTTGGTGTCTATAAATTTACCTTTGAATTTCCTACCGAGTCTACAGAAATTGATACCACAATTGCTAGCATCACTACCTTGGTTGCTGACTTTGAAGGCAATCCTTCTGATACACTTTTTCTCAGAATCAAAGCCCGTCTTGCACATGTAATGGCACGTATCCAAAGACTTACCGTCCCTGAGGATGACACCAAAGATGATGTTGAGGCATATAAACATGAAGCATATGTCCGTTGTCTTTCTCTTGATGCTGACACTCATGAGAGAGTGGATCAATTTCAGAGTACTCAAGCTCCACCTGCTCTTGCTAACTCTACCTTGGCTCCTCAAGCGAATGTTTCTGTGTTTCCCGCTACCTTATCTTGTTCCAATAACAAAAATTTCATTCCCGAATGGAACTTGAAATTTACTGGAGATTCCAGAAGAGTTTATGATTTTCTTGAGAGAGTTTCCGAGCTTGCTGCCGCATATGAGGTTACCGATGAACAACTTTTCAAGTCTGCCACTTTATTATTTTCTGGTGATGGCCTAATGTGGTTTAGAAATGTCAAAACTTCAGTTAATACCTGGGACGAATTGACCCAAAGAATTAAATTGGATTTCCTTCCTCCAAATTGTGACGATGAAATATGGGAACAAATCAAAGCCAGAAAGCAGAGAAAATTTGAAACCATTTCTATTTTCGCTTCTCAAATGGAGAGTCTCTTTTCTCGACTATCACGTCCACCTGTCGAACCAACCAAAATTAAGTATATTAAACAAAACTTATTCCCTGAATACTTCTCTGCTTTGGTTCTTCAAGATATAAATTCCGTTAATGAACTCATTAGTCTAGTTAAAAAGTTGGAGGAAGCTAATTTCGTGAAGCATAAACAATTCCCTAGGAATCAGGTTGCTGCTAACAGTCATTTCACCAGAAATAATTCTCAGATTTCTGCAGTCCTGAGTACTTCTCAAAGTCCCAGTTTTTCCCGTAACTCACCACCTTCCAGAAATAATTCTCAGCCTTCGGCACGAAATTTTCAGACTACTACCCAGTTTAACTCCCGCAATGCTCCTGAACGCAAATGTTGGAATTGTGATGGCACTGGCCATTTTTACTTTGATTGTCGTCGCCAGAGAAAGAAGTTCTGTTTTCGTTGTGGTTTAGCAGATGTAACCGTGAAAACGTGTCCTACCTGTAATCCAAAAAACTAAATTCTGGTGGTATACGACAAGGCCATTGTATATTACCTACCTTATCGGCCAATTATCTTACCTATCCCTCTACCGAACAATTGACTTACCTTGAGTTCTATAAGAACTATCTTGTATCTTTTTCGATACCTTTCTCAGAACTTAAAAACCATACCGCTGAACTAGCTCCTGTCTTTGTGCCTCGAACTCTAGACAATCGACCCTACATAAAGGTTAATATATTCGATTTTGAAGTTGTCGGATTATTTGATAGTGGTGCAACAATTTCCATAGTTGGTTCAGAAGGTTTAAAGTTCCTCAAAAATTCCAATATTGTCATAAATCCTTCTTCCATTAAGTGTGTAGCCGTAGCTGATGGCACACAACAGAAAGTTAGTGGTATTATTGATTTACCTATTTACCTTAATG